GGTGGGGACTCTGGGAACTCAATGAAAGTGTGTGTGCAATAGGTCCCCTTGACTGGCCTATACTCAGCTTGCCAGAGCTCCCCACTGTTCTGTCACAGCAGAAGACAATACTTGGCACATCCAGATAGGGGGGAGCAGGTGACCCGGGTGACGGTGCCGAGGTCTAGCAGGAAAACATAAGGACCGAGCAGAGTCACATGACTGAGGAAGTGATGTCACTACTTGTCACAGTCGGAGACACCAGTCATTTTAGTGCAGGCTGTGACAAAATAAGGAGTGGCAAGGAAACGTTGGCACGGTGAGTATCGGGGGTGCCCTCTGCAAAGACACTGTCACTTTGCTCTGCATGGGCCAGGTGTTCACTTTAAAGAAAGATAACCTTGATGCATTCCGAGCTCTGCAGCTTTTTTTATTAAGGTACAGAGCATACAAAATGGAGAGCACAAATCTTACGTGCCTGCGGAAATGGTGTCAGTATCGCTTGTGTTCGTTAATTGCTGCACTTAACGAGTCAAGCTGAAACAATTTCCGAAGACAATAGCACGGCCGGCTAAACTGTCCCGCGTTATGATGGAGATTTACGTGCTAACAGCTAAGGTTCTGACTCCAGGCCTCCCTTCCGATTCCCAAAATAACTTGGACCACGCCGGAGAGGAAAATCAATAGACGCTTATTAAGGAAGATACATGTGAAGAGATAGCACCAAGTTCCAGGAAGAAGAGATGCCAGGGGATAGGAGACAGACACAGGCTTCAATGATGACAATAAATACCGATTAACTCTTCCACATCTGGGGAAAGGCCAAACAGGAGCATCCTAGAAGCAGGCAGACGATGAGCTCCTCTCTATAGCGCTTTTCTTTCAAGTTCCTTCATAAGCTTCCCTTGGTCCGTGGCACACAATGCAAACAAATGACTTGGAATATAAAAGGTTCTATACAGTCTGGTACTTCACTGTCACCTGCTACATAGTGAGGAACCGCTGCTCCAAACACAGAATTAATTTCTTCTTCTTGGGCAACACTATTTAAAAGTTCCGGACTTCTCTGGTGCTTCTCCCTTTCTCTGGAAATTCCTTCTGCATACTATCAGGCGCTCACAACCATTATTACTTTTATATTTATTTATTTAGAATTTCTTATAGTTAAAAACACTCATACCCATAATTCAAGCCGACCTTTGACACTGGAGCTGTCATAGGTCGGATCTATTGATCGGAAAGTCAGTGAACACATACTGCTGATCGCTGACTTCCCGATCATCTCCCTGCAGAGAGCAATGACTGTCAGTCACCACTCCCCACAGGTATTCCCCCCTCTTTTCTCCATTTCTCCAACGCGGACTTGAGGAATGGACAGGGGAGGGGGCGGGCACAGCTGGATAGGCCGAGCCAGCTGTCGATCAGCTAGCAGGGTGGATCTCGACAGTATAGTCGGGATCCGTCCTGGCTGCGGCGTGGCTCTGCGCTCTCAGCATATAGTGGGCAATGGCCCGTTATATACTGAGTTTTGGGTCACCGGAGGACATTAGTATATGTCCTCCTGAGACCCTGAAGAGAACTATGGCCAAAAAAGGTTGTCCCATAGTTCTCTTTTACAAACACAGTTCACACTTTTCCACCACCCATTTTCTAGCTTGATTATATCTGTTCTTTGTATTCTTCTAGCAAAATTATATAGGATCACAATTCTAGGACCCAGGTGTATGTTTGTAGCATTTGACCGTGTCCTGCAGGATCTCTTGTAGCATGTTTGCAGTCTTTGACTATCTTCTGCAGCAAGTCTATACTCTCTGACCATCTCTTGTAGGATGTCTGCAGTCTCTGACGAGTGCCTGCAGCATGTCTATACTCTTTGACCATCTCTTGTAGGATGTCTGCAGTCTCTGACGAGTGCCTGCAGCATGTCTATACTCTCTGACCATCTCTTGTAGGATGTCTGCAGTCTCTGACGAGTGCTTGCAGCATGTCTACACTCTATGACCATCTCTTGTAGCCTATTTGCATTCTTTGACCATCTCCTGCAGGAGATACCTGTTAAACGATCCTTCCTTCCTTCACAAATTAATTATTTATCAAGACTTTAGGTTCCCTTTAAGACATACAGCAATTGGCCAAACGTTTGAGAACATGGCCATCACACCTAGTATATTGCAAGTATGTGGACATCCCCTCCAAATGATTGAGTTCAGATGTTTCCAATGAAGGGTACTGTTAATGCTACAGCATACAAAGGCAATGGTGCACTTTCAACCTTGTGGGAAGAGGTTGGTGAAAGCTCTTTGTTTTGTCCAGCATGACTGTAACTCCTGTGCACAAAGCCAGCTCCATAAAGACATGTAAAATCTATTGATCTGCGCTTCTGTATAATACACTAATAATGTGGGTAAAGAAGCTGCCACAATACAGACTAAGGAGTCCCGACAATTTAAACAGTGATTTAGCGCCGCAAAATCACTGTTTTAATAAAGACATGGTTGATAAGTGTGGTGTGGAGTAATTTGAATGGCCTGAGCAGGGTCCTGACCTCAACCAGATTCAACAGCCTTGGGATCTCATGGAACACCATCTGCAAGCCAAGTCTTCTGACCCAACATCAACATACCTGACCTCACAAAGGGTTTTTGACTACACGGGAACAAATTCCCACAGACACACTCTAAAATGTTGTGGATTGGAGAGTGGAGTCTACTATAGTGCACCCGGTGGCATCTCCATAATAATGCCCATGCATCTGGAATGGGATGTCCAGCAAGCTCATAATGGTGTGATGGACAGGCGTTCACAAACCTTTGGCCATATTGTGCAGCTGCTCTCTGATTCAAAAGCAAGAAAAAATAAAATAAAGGCAGCACAGTGGCTTGGTGGTTAGCGCTTATGCCTTGCAGCACTGGGGGTCCTGGTTCAAATCTCGGTCAGAATACTCTCTCCAAGAAGTTTGCATGTTCTCCCTGTGCTTGTGTGGGGTTCCTCCAGGTATTCCAGTTTCGTCCCACACTCCAAAGACATGCTAGAAGGTTAATTGGCTCCTGTCTAAATTGGCCCTGCATGCATGTACAATGGGGACCTTAGACCGTAAGCACCTTGATGACACGGACTGATGTGAATGTGCAGTATGTAATTTGTCAGTGCTATATAAATACCTGAAATGCGTAAACAAATAATAATGAGCTGCATAGTTCTCAGGCTGTTATTACCTTTTAGGCTGTTGGTGCGGGTACGGAATGACGATGAGCTGGGAATTTGGAATGATCGCCGTCCATTCCTGCCGTCTTATTTGCTGAAAAGAGAAATAGACACACGACTAATGGAAACTGCGCAGACATCCCTACGGAACAGTGCGACCAGCAATCGACTATAATACAGCGCGGCAACGGAAGCAGATTCAATTATAAAACTGGGATGTAATCGGACTTTTCACTGGCCATTTAGATGATTCATTAGCAAATGTTAGTCATGTCTAATGATGGATGACTAAGTAGATTTATCTGGCAGAGCTCAGCATGGTCCCAATTATAAAGAAGACTAATGAACGAAGGCGTTCACAAAACATTCACTGTCTGCTGACACGACACAGCCGACCCCCCTTTCAGGGAGCCAGTGGAAAGAGCAACCCCTAGGACCAGAGTGCACGTCAGGAAAGCTGCCCGCACACCGCTAGACAATCCTTTTCAGCCAAATGGAGGAGAAAGTTCAAAGGCTCAGGATGGAAAATGTTTTCTTGTTTCTGAACAAATTAAATTCTAACCCTGAATGTGATTTCCGTTCGGAAGAAATCGTACATACTGTAATGCGCATGTGCTGGGCACACAAACCCCCCCGCCCCAAACAGTTCAATACTTCTGAGATTCCAATCAAGTAGCAGATCTGGTTACAATTTAAAGGAGTTTTTGAATGAAATTAGTCAGCTCAATGATGGCAAGATCAAATGTTCCAACTAACGGTTATTCAGAATTTCAACCCAAATTTTACTGGTGTATGGCCAGCTTAAGATGAAGTCTATTTTGCACGCACATTTTGAGAACTTAAAGTGACATTAAACCCTCAGATTTTGTAACATAAAACAATACTGTAATGTGCGCCTTACTGTAACCCATGGTGGTTTCCCTTCTCTTTGCTGCTCTTCCTTTTAAATCTGTATCTGTTCTCATGCTTGGGGAGAACTTCCCTTTGCAGCAGACTGCCTTGTCTCTGGAATGGATACATGGTGTCTGTGTGTAGGTTTGTAACCTGAGCCAGCACTACAGGAAGAGGCAGTCTGCTGCAAAGGGAAGTTCTCCCCAAGCATGAGAAGAGATGAGGTTTTTAAAAGGAAGAGCAGCAAAGAGAAGGGAAACAATCATGGATTACAGTAAGGCACACATTACAGTATTGGTTTATGTTAAAAAATCTGAGGGTTTAATGTCACTTTAAGTGTTTCTGACTGCTCTGAGCAATCAGAAGCGCTTTAGCTAAGAAGTGCTTCTGATTGGTCAGCACAGTCAGGTGACCGTTTCTGGGGGGCAGATATGAGTGGGTAATTCCATTTTCCCAAATTCACTTGAGAGAAATGGGAGGGGGGAGAGAGAGAGACACAAGTTTAGCAGTCATTAGCTGTGATAGCTGCATTAGTTTTCTTTTTTTGTGCATTAGTTTTCTTTATTTTCACCTGGTGATCCTGCAAAAAACACTTCCAGTCTACACTGCATCTATGGAGGGAGCCATGGCTGTCCCACAGGCTGAACTTCAAACAGGTCTGCCTTTCTTCAACTTCATTACATAAAGACTGATGGGTCTAGTGGTTTACACAATAAAAATAAGGCTGTTTTCTATTTTAATCTCACAGCAGTGACAAGGACGTGGCACATCAGGATCAACAGCTATTTTCTGTACTTGCTAAAAACACTGTTAGCTTGAAAAAGGCAAACTAATGCATTTACCACATCTATGGACTGGTAAGGTGCAATATATTACATTTTTCTTTTGGCTTCATATGCCTAAAGGGACACTAAACTCAGGAGTTAAATCTTAAAAATGCATTCAAGTACCTTAACTAACAGCAAAAATGTATCTTATTTGTGTATCAGTCGGCTGTAGATCCTCCAATCATCTCTGAATTGGTGCTGACACTGTCCTTTCTTCTGGAGGGGGGCTACTTTTGTTCCCCATGGTCCCTGTGTGGAAAGTAGTCACTGCTCCAAGCTCGCCCTGTGATAAACTAGAATCTCATGTTTCGTTTACTAATTTGTATCTAGATTGTAGTCCATCCCGGGAGCGAGCTTGGATCGGTGACTACTTTACAACGCACACATGGACCATGGGGAACAAAAGTAGTCACCCTCCAGAAGGACGGACAGTGTCGGCACCAATTCAGAGATGATTGGAGGATCTGCAGCCGAGTGATGCACAAATAAGATACATTGTTGTTAATAGTTAGGATACCTGAATCCGTTTTTAAGATTTAACTCCTGAGTTTAGTGTCCCTTTAGGCATATGAAGCCAAAAGAAAAATGTAATATATTGCACCTTACCAGTCCATAGATGTGGTAAATGCATTAGTTTGCCTTTTTCAAGCTAACAGTGTTTTTAGCAAGTACAGAAAATAGTGTCACTTTAAACTCTGGTTTCACTTGTAGCATGCTTGTTCATGTCAGATTGTGAGCTGCGGAGACAGCCAGAACTTTCAGAAGCCATCGCAGCCCATGTATCTCTCTCTCACAACAGTTTGCTTTAGCTTGTTGAACGGCGTAGAAGCCTCATTTATCAAGGTAAGAGGAAGAAATGAGCACAAAGCAAGCCACCACATTACACCCAGCATTGCCGTGACCTGCAATGTCCTTGTGTAGAGAATGAGACGCATTTCTTTCACAGTCGATCTCTCTCACTGGCATTACGCTGCAGCAATAAATAACATACACATTTACCACATGCAGGCTATACTGACCTTTTCTCCGGGCGGCCGAGGGATTCCGACGTACAGATGATCGAGGAAGTTGGCGCTGCGCCCTAATCCCAGGACGTTGTACGGCAGCTGGAGAGCCATGTGTGCCGACTGACTCAGCTGCCCGGCTGAAATTAAACACAGGAATAATCACTTACTTCCAGCCCTACACATGTAAACATGGAGCAAAACACTTCGCCAGACCCTGCATGTGCTGCACCTTCCTTCGTATTTAATTTGAATGAATTATAACAACTCCTTTAGATAATTAAACACAAATCAATGCTTGACAACCCAAAGAGGACCAGTCATTTGTTTACATACCCCCTAGGTGTGATCATGTACAGCTATTATTAAGCGGCAGACAGTGATGTGAGCTGTACTGCTGAACTATAACTACCAATCTGTAGTCTGTTCTCTCCTCCCTTGGGCTCCTACAGAGTATCCATGCAGGAGACACCCAACTCTCCCAAACCTAACTTCCTAGAGCTGTCATGGGGACAGATAAAGGTGTGTAGTCAAGAAATGGCTAAAGGATCGTAAAGTAAAACTATGGGCAAAATTACTAAAATGAGGCATTAAACACAAAAGCATTAACACAGTATTATTATAAACAGGTAGTTTAAGGTGGACTTTAAATAAGCGACAAACAAAGAAAAGTCTAACACCCGCTTTTTTTAAGCAGTTACAACTGATTTTCTTTTCTTTTGGGAAAAAAATAATTAAAGGATAAGTGCACCTATAAACAAAGTGCACTTATGCTTTCGATCCCTTTAAGATGACATCACCGCTCCCTCCCTGTGCACAGATGAATTCTTACAGAGTTCTGATGGGCCCGGCCTCCGCTGCTTGTTGACATCATACATCCGGCTTGTCTTCCGGCCGGCAGGTGGAGGCAGAAGAACACCATAGAAGTCAATGTGGATGTACTGCTCAGAAGCGGCCGAGAGAGGATGTCCGCCACATGATGTCAACATGCAGCGGAGACCGGGCCATCAGAACTCACTAAGTACTCCTCTGTGTAGGGGGAGTGAGGGATTGGTGATGTCACCTTAAGGGAGCGGAAAGGTCCCAGGAACCCAAGAGATAGGTAGAAAAAGATAGATAGATAGATAGATAGATAGATAGATAGATAGATAGATAGATAGATAGATAGATAGATAGATAGATACTAAGATGACAGTGAGTGATGGATATAGATAAATAAATATATTTAGTAGAAGACAGACAATTAGATAGCTAGAAACAAGATAGATACGATAGAACAAAGATAAAGATAGACAGATAAGATAGATACATTGTACAAGCAGACAAATAGATACACAGATAAGAGAGAGAGGAGAGAGAGAGGAGAGAGCGAGAGAGAGAGAGAGATACAGAATGATACAGTCAGACAGATAGACAGACAGATATTACATCACTTAGGACTTTAATAGATCTGAAATGTAATTATTCCTAAAACATCCACTAGAAAGACAGATACAGATAGATAAAGATGATTAATTAGGCAGAATGATAGACAGAGATAAAGATAGAAAGATAGATACAGATGGATTAAGAAGATGAACAAGATAAAATGATAGAAAGAAAGAAAAGATAGATACATTGTACAAGCAGACTGATAGATAACCAAGATAGATACAGTAGAAAGAAAGAAAGATATGGGATGGATGGATGGATGGATCGATAGATAGATAGATAGAGAGAGAGAGAGAGAGATTGAGAGATAGAGAGAGATAGATAGATATGGATCGATAGATATAGGGATAGATAGATATGGGATGGACAGATAAATAGATAGATAGACAGACAGACAGATATAGGATGGATAGATATGGATAGACAGAAAGGGATACAGATCAGATTGCTTTCAGTAGATATGAGCATGTCTCAAGGACAGTTTTCCGCACTGGGGACTAAATAGATCTGAAATTTAATTCTTCTTAAAACAGCGGCAATAAAACAGAATGTTTCAGATGTGATTTCCGAGCTCGTGTTCCCGCCTCGGCCAGACGTCCCCAGATATATTCCAGCGCTGTCTGGACACAGAAGAAGCAATTATTTCCCTCTTTGTACTGTTTAATGCCAACACAAGGCCGATCATTGAAATATTTCACACTTGCCCGGGAAAACTTGTGACGGATCAGTTTAATCATCTGCTCGGCCGCTGGATGTATAATTACTGGCGAGGGGAGCTGGACCCTCACGTTTACACCGTGCCAATGAAGGCAGCTATCTTGTGGACCGAATGACTAAGCCTGAGGAGTCTTATCTGTTCAGCAGTAACTAACAATGGCATTGAATCATGAGGTATCTTTTATAAGGTGCCGAGAGGCAAACGTCATTTTTATGGCACGTCGTAGAACGCGCCCTGCAGTTTAAACACTGAGATTGCGAACATCGTGCTGCCTTGAGCTTGTACCCATCCAACAAAACGTCTATAAAGAGGACCTTTCTGAATAGAAATATGGACATTGTGGACTTGTTAAAAAGAAAGCCATAGTTTTTAAGAGTTTTCCATATAAGGATGATCATTGGAATATTTCACATGGGAATGGTCCAATGTTGCTAGCAACCTCTTTGGCATGCAACACATCTTGGAGTGTCCGATGCCTGTGTCCACAGGAGTGCTATGGCTCCATCCTTCCACCCCTATGGCACTGCTGTGTTCTGTAGTGACATAGAGATTGAAGAAGGGAACCATGGCATGGCATCCTGATAGTGCTGAGTGCTGAAGAGGCTTTCAGAGGCTGCAGTCTTGGAACGGAGGGGAGGTAGGGCACATGTGTCACCAGAGGCAAATATGCTGTGTCTTCTATTGTCGGGCACTGGTATTTTTTATACCTGACAGGGCCTCTTTAAGGGCTCATATACATAAGCGTTCTTGTCAAACTCAGCTTTTGCCAGCGCTGCTCAAATGTAGGCGTTCAAATACAAAATGCATTGCCTTCAATTCAAATGTACCTCACTATGACATGCCTCGCCCCCAAGGAAATGCAAGGCAAAGCAGGTCAAACGGAGCCTTTGAACTGTCATCTGCACTACTCTATTGAAGTCAATAGGAATCTGTTGACCGGCATTTGATGTGCTCTTGAAACACACATATACCTGAGCCTTTAGGTATTAAGAAGTTGAAGGACCTAATATTGAGTCCTACTTGAGAGGTTTTGGTTAATTGGGTCAGGTCAAGAATATATAATTTTGAAGATTTAGAGGCAAGTCCCTTGACATGGGTTGATTTTTTCGGTATCAAGTACGGGTACTGATATTTATCTTATGGTACTTGCCGATACTGAGTACAGATACCGGTACTTCCGCTAGCATGGAGCCAGCTTCCCAGCCAATCAAGAAGCCAGACAGCATGTCAATACCTGCCACCCGGCTTCATGCTGTTTGGCCGGGAAGCAGGCTTCCCAGGCAATCAGCATGGAGCCGGCCAAACCGCATGGAGCTGGCTTCCCTGCCAATCAGGAAGCCGGGAGGCGAGTCATTACCCGCCGCCCGGCATCCTGGTTGGCAGGGAAGCCGACTCCTTGTTCCCTTGCGGCACTGCTGGTCAGAGGAAATCTCCCTCTGACCAGAAGTTCCGGTATCGGGGGTATCAGAGCATTTGGGTGAGTACTCATCCAAATACTTGGTATCGGCACCGATACTAGTATTGGTGCATCCCTAGTATTCATGTTCTTCCATCGTCTCAGAATAGGAGCTGTGTTCTGCTATCGATACTTATAGATGAGAATCTTTGTGATGTTCAATCAAAAAAGAGGGGAGAGCTTTTTGTTGAAGGATTGGTTGATGCAGTGAAATCTATTTTTATATTTGATCTGTGTTGGACTCACCAAGAAATGCAGAATCCTGGGCCTTAAAGGGTTCCATGTGGTCCATGGTGGGCCTCGGAATTTGAAGAGCCCAATTTATAACCTCTAAGCCCTTTTCCTCCATCACAGATACAGTTGGAGCCCTGACATGCAGGCAGACTCTCACTACCACCTAATGAGATTACTCTCAGCATTGTACGATGTGAAATGTTCCCCCAGTCACTCTGAAGGATCATTACTGAAGACAGGAGTGAGCAGGAGACGGGTGTTAGATTTTGCCAGATGCTGTCATAATGTCTCCTACTCCAGTCTTGACTCCTGCCATGCTCCTTTACACTCTGACCTTTGTATTTACTGAAACATGCCGCATGAATGTCACTCGTATGGGACTGGATCATGAGAGTGAAGCTGGGTACACACGCAGCAAATTTCAGTCGAATCAGCGGGAATTCGCCGTGTTGTTGACCCTATTCCTTCGGCAGAGGTTGATCATTAGAACATGTTGGAAAATCTCCAGCCGGATGGAGCTTGCAGTCAATCAGCTCCATCCTCAGTTCTGGTATTCTGACAGTGGACATTGGCCACTATAATAGAAGCAGCGGGTCATTCGCCCATCCCTGCTGTTCACCATGAATGGAGGAGGAATCTGTTCTATTTTTTTCATTCAGTTGAACTAAAACAAAAACCAGACCCATGTATACCCTACTTTAGAGCAAAGGTAACGTAGGCCTCCGGCTCACAGCAGCCGATTGCATTAAAAATCTTATTCTATAACCTTACAGTTTGGAAAATGACATCTGCAAACTCTTTGAGTGATTCTGATGTTTCCAAGAGCCTGTCATTTCTTGGGTGTCCACCCCGGCATTGCACCATTATGCCAAACAATGCTTAAAGGAGAACTATGAGGTGAGTGAAAATCACTCATCCTCATAGTTCGAGTCGACGTGTGACAATGAAACTGTCACACGTCCTCTCAATAGATCAGCAAGTGAGCGAACACATACCATCGCTCGCTCAGTCAACACTCCCTGCAGGGTTTCCCCCTCCCCTCTCTGATCCTCCAGCACTGACTGGAGGAATGGATGGGGGAGGGGGTGGGTACAGCTGGCTCTGCCCCTAGATAGGCAGAGCCCGCTGTCATTCATGCAGCTGGGTGCATCTCAACAGTGATGTCGGGATCCGTCCCGGCTGCGGCGGTCTCAGTACAGCTCGCGATATACTGAGCTTTGGGTCACGGGAGGACACCAGTATATGTCCTCCCGTGACCCTTAAGAGAACTATGGGGAAAAACACTTACCCCTAACTAATGC